GTTCTTTTTTCGTAACAGATTTAATGTTTAGTATAGAGTTTAGAAAAAATTCGCAGTGTGAGATAGGCAAGAAGTAAGGCATGTAGCAACATCAGCACGGCAAAGGGCACTCCTTTAAAGGCAAGGAAGGGCAAAAATATTTTAAGTCAAGTGATAGTGATTGCTGTATGAGTCGTACGATTTTTGAATCAAGCACGGGCAACGCCGGGCCATGCTGCTAGTCTTTCTACATATACAGGGTCTCCATAAAGTCCATGTGCACTTTAGATAACTTTTAACTTTAAAGTGAACACGAACTTTATGGACGCCCTGTATATGAATATAAAATATGTATATTTAGGCAGCATATCTTCATTCAAGTATGCTTCTTTTAATAATATAGACATATTATGTCTATTTATTTTTACAATAATCCATTCTTCCTCTCTAACTGGCTTCTTCATGTTAATTTGAAATTCATCAAAGGAGGCGTCGTAGTACTTGTTAACCCAAGTAAACAAGGCGGGGGGATCGAAATTACTTGATTTGACACGAACTAAGTCGTTTTTTTGATAAATTTCAGTTTAACATCGAGAAGGTAATTAGAGAAATAGAAAGGATTATTATAAAAATAAATAGACATCATATGTCTATATTATTTAATTAAACATGCTTGAATATATATATATATATATATATATATATATATATATATATATATATATGTGAAAATAGGAAGGAACTGGTTAGGTAAATAATCCAAAGTTCCTTAGTATTTTAGTTATTATTTTAAAAAAAATAGTGCTCGATACAAAAGTAGAGCATAAATATAATTATTTATTTAAAATATGATTACAACTCATGAGTTGGAATCATATTTTAAAAAGAAATAATATATATATATATATATATATATATATATATATATATATATATATATGCCCATATTGATTCATATGAGCAGATGTGACATGATATTGATGATTAATTCTATATATTTTGACTATAATTACTCATAGGTTTCTACATATTTTTTTTATTTATAATCCTGTCGTTGTAACTCTAAGGATGTAATTTCTGTCGTATGTGTATGTGTTTTTATTTTTTTAAATTTAGTTTAACTAACTAGATTAATTAGTTTGTATCTAATTATATATATATACCTTTGTTACACACACACACACAAAACACACACACACACATATATATATATATTTATATGTCCGTCTAACTCTTTCTCTCTCTCCCTTTATCTTGCTCCATATATATATATATATATATATATATATATATATATATATATATATATATATAAGAATTATTAGGAAAAAACTTAAAAATACATTGTCAGTAATAGTTTTATTACTGAATATAGATTCTTAATTTTTCCTAATTATTCTTATAATTGGCTCTGAAAAGTCCTCATTAGAATAATCCTAGCAATTACATTTTGGTATAATTTATATATATATATATATATATATATATATATATATATATATGTGAAAATATATAGAAAATAGGAAGGAACTGGTTAGGTAAATAATCCAAAGTCCCTTAGTATTTTAGTTATTATTTTTAAAAAATAGTGCTCGATACAAAAGTAGAGCATAAATATAATTATTTTTATTTAAAAATATGATTCCAAATCGCTACATAAGAGGTCTCATGTTTCAAAACAAGAGCCGAAAACTTCAATATAATCCTTTAAATTAAGCTGTTACCATGGGGATTTTGATTTCAATTTTAAAACAAGTAAATTTCAGATATACGTTATTCCAACAAAAATTTCGCTTGAAGATGGAACGCAGCCCATTTTACTTTCAACTCAATTTAATTTAAAGGATTATATTGAAGTTTTCAGCTCTTGTTTTGAAACATGAGACCTCTTATGTAGCGATTTGGAATCATATTTTTAAATAAATAATTATATATGTATATGTATGTATGTATGTATGTATGTATATATAATGAAATAGATTAATTTCGAAAATTATTAAATAATTTTTGTTTATACGTTATTTTTATAGATACGATTTCTTCAAGTAAATGCTCTGTTTTTTATTAAACAGGATGCAGGTTAGATTCCTGTCAGGAATGAATATTTTCTATGAAATTTCTGGGATTTCCAGGCTGGTAAATGCAATTAATTCTGTTTAAATAAAAATATAAATTTCTGTTCTGTCCATGTGTGTATGGACATGCTTTTTTAATTTTTTTTATAAATATTTTGATGTGAATAATTATATTTAAATCTTATCTCTACCTTTTGAAGTAAATAGCTTGAGTGCATGCGTATGCTGATTGGGATTTTAAGTTACATGTAAATTTCATAATGTTCCTATGGACATATACATTTAATAATTTTTATGTCATAAATAGATTAAATTTCATATGTTATGAATAAATAAATTTCATATGTAATTATGAAATAAATTCCATAAATTTGTTGCGGGGTTACGTTTATTTTAAATTCAAAATTAAAAAAGAACGCCAATCCCCGTATAAAACGTCATTTCGATTTAAAGATTTTATCAAATTCGAAATTATGTAACTGTAGCACAGTTGATAAAGGCAATGGTTAGCTCCAGTGACATGGACCCAAAAGAGTGTGAGTTCAATACTCGGTTAAGGCAGTGGAGAACTTGCAGAGGGGAATTAACAAGAGATAACTGATAACTAACATCCATTAAACATGGCACGTGGAATTAGAACTGTCTACTGCACTGAGCGAAATAAAGGGTTCAGTTCGATATTCCAACCACCTGAAGAAGGCCGGGGCGTACAACGGCCGAAACGTTGTAATAAATATGTCGGCAAAGATGACTACAATAGTCCGAATAATTTTTTTTTTTATATATTAAACATTTTGTGGGATGAGCAATTATGCTGTAACACAATTTGGACAATTTTGCTGTTACACCCGATCTATCTATCTATCTAACTATACATATATATGGATATTTACATATATATATATATATATATATATATATATATATATATATATATATATATATACATATATATATATATTTATATATATATATATATATATACATACATATATATTTACACACACACACACACACATACATATACACATATATATATATGAATGGTAGATACCAATGATGTGCCCAATAACGTCCAGTCCTTAGATAGAAACTGAAACATATTCTCGTAACTTTCATTTCGTCTTTTGAAATGTTTTTTCAATCCACCAATCCACATGTGCGGCATTGAAGCCCTATTGATGGTATCTCTTCATTTCGATTCTATAATTCAAGATGACGTTTCAGCACACGATGTGTCCTAGAAATTTCCTGTAAGTGAACTTAATTAGTGTGTATATATATATATATATATATATATATATATATATATATATATATATATATTATATTTTGAAGGACATTAATGACACATAATATATTTTCATTCTTTCTCTGTTCTTTGTCCCTAATTTTATTTGCCATCTCATCTTTGCATCTTCTTTCTTCCTTTTTTTATTCTATTTTTCTGTCTTCATTCTTTCTTCCCTTTCATATTTCGATTGATTGATGCATCTTTCTTTCATTTTTATTATTTCTACGTTTCTTTCTTTCTTTATTACATTGTATATTTCTCGCATTTTTTCTTCTTTCATTTTTTTGTTATTTCTTTCGTCGTTACTTTTTTCGTTCTTTCTTAATTGTCCACTTTACTTTCTTTCTTTCTTTCATTCTTTCTTTCTTTGTTAACCCTTTCTTTCTATTTTCTTTCTTTTTTCTTTGATTGAGTTATTCATTTATCTTTTTTTCTTACGTTGTATATTTACTTCCTACGTATCTTGTTTAAATTATTTTTTTGTTTATTTTGGTCCCTTTTCCTTTCTTTCTTTCTTTTTTCGATTCATTCATTTTGTTTTCTTTCTTCGGTGGACTGATTTTTTTCTTTCGTTTATTTTCATTTATTTTTTATTTCATTCTTTGGATTCATTTTTTCTTACATAGATTTTTCATTATTTCTTCCTTTTTTACGTTTCATATTTCTTTCACTTTCCTTTCTCGATTTCTTTCTTTCTATCTTCGATTGATTCATTAATTAATTCTTTTTCTCTCTTCCATTCTTTCTTACTTTCTTTCTTTTTCTATCGATTGTTTGATTCATTTTTTCTTCCTTTTCTTTCTTTCTTTTTCTATTGATTAATTATTTTTTTATAATTAATTGATTCTTATTCTCTTTTCCATTCTTTCTTTCTTTTTCTATTGATTAATTGATTTTTTCTTTCTTTTTTCCATTGATTGATTGATTCTTTCTGTTCTTTCTTTTCTTTTTTTTCTTACTTTCTTTCTTTTTCTATCGATTGTTTGATTCATTTTTTCTTCCCTTTCTTTCGTTCTTTTTCTATTGATTAATTGAATTTTTCTCTCTTTTTTCCATTGATTGATTGATTCTTTCTGTTTCTTTCTTTCTTTCTTTCTTTCTTTCTTTCTTTCTTTCTTTCTTTCTTTCATGATAGATACTTTCTTTCTTTCTTCCATGATTGATTCTTTCTTTCTTTCTTTCTTTCTTTCTTTCTTTCTTTCTTTCTTTCTTTCTTACTTTTTCTATCGATTGTTTGATTCATTTTTTCTTCCTTTTCTTTCTTTCTTTCTTTCTTTCTTTTTCTATTGATTAATTGATTCTTTTCCCCTTTTCTCTTTTCCATTCTTTCTTTCTTTCTTTCTTTCTTTTTCTACTGATTAATTGATTTTTTCTTTCATTTTTCCATTGATTGATTGATTCTTTCTGTTCTTCCTTTTCTATTCTTTTCTTTCTTTCTTTCTTTCTTTCTTTTTCTATCGATTGTTTGATTCATTTTTTCTTCCTTTTCTTCTTTCTTTCTTTCTTTTTTTTTCTATTGATTAATTGATTCTTTTTCTCCTTTTCTCTTTTCCATTCTTTCTTTCTTTCTTTTTCTACGGATTAATTGATTATTTATTTCTTGTTTCCATTGATTGATTGATTCTTTCTTTCTTTCTTTCTTTCTTTCGTTCATGATTCTTTCTTTCTTTCTTTCTTTCTTTCTTTCTTTCGTTCATGATTCTTTCTTTCTTTCTTTCTTTCTTTCTTTCTTTCTTTCTTTCTTTCTTTCGTTCATGATTCTTTCTTTCTTTCTTTCTTTCTTTCTTTCTTTCTTCCATGATTGGTTGATTCTTTCTTTCTTTCTTTCTTTTCTTTCTTTCTTTCTTATTACTCCATTAGCAGGTCTCTGGTATGTCAAATCCCCTTTCAGGCATTTAACCAATCTTTAACAATTATTTCCACTCTCGTAGCTAATGCACGATAAATATAACATAATGATAAACGCGAATAATATAAAATCGTTATTTATTCTCGTCTAAAATTATAGCCGCGGGCCACATTCCAAGATGAGGTTCTTTCTCATAATTTAGGCGTAGAGAAAATGCTTTCAATTCACGATACGTTTACCTTAAGAAAATAGTAACAAAATGTTGATATTTAGACCAATCCGCTACGCTCATCTGCAGTATTCCCAGTCTGATTTATCAAGGAATGTTACGTATATCATCGACGTCGAAGAGTTAAGAAGTGATTAGATCTTTTGTGATAACAAGCTTTTCCAAGTTCAATAATAGGATCTTGTGTAAGAAGAATTAATATTATCGGGGGTGGTGTGGGGAGGGAGAAATGCTTATAGATTTGTAAAAGCTTTTTTGAATGCGTAAAAATCTCAAACCTTTGCCCTGTAGAAATGAAATATATTAATAAAGACGAACTAAAAATATTATATTCTCCCTTTTAAATAATCAGGACAAAAAAGTTAGGAATTACGTACTTTTTCCGCTGTAAAACATATATTCGTCTCGAAGTCTCTACAATATCTGGGATGTGCAGGTGGTGTCATGGATAGCTTCGAGCAGTGAAAATTCGGAGAGCCAAGTTTGAATTTCTACTATGGTTCGTTACGCAGGTTTACGAATAAATGTCCTTGGGATTTGTATGAATTTATATCCCCCCCCGCCTCACCTCTGGGATAAATCGTAGGACTTGTATTTTGAAACATTTTTATTCTTGAAAAAACAAAATTGTTACCTCAAGAATCAATCGCAATAAATAAATAAAATAAAATAAAATAAAATAAATAACTTGCTAAAAGTGTTTCTTTTCTTGCACTTCTCGCGTGTGAAACTCCGTTGCAGCTCCCTTCTCTGTGGCCAACTTTAATCTAAAAAAAATTTAAATGCAATGTCAATCGCTATCTTCTGTACTCCTGATTACTCTTTCCCGCTCATTATTAATGTTCCTCTTGCTAATTCTTCCACACTCTGTGACCTTTTGTATGAAGCTTTATTTTACTAATTCAGCTGAAAAAAATCGTTTATTTTATTGTAATTGATGGTTACAAGGGTGAGGGGAGATATGATGAGTTATTTTACAGGGTGCCCAGTAAAAAAGCGGAAAAATTTTATAATCACTGTTCTATCTTTCAGGAATAACTGACTTAAATAGATTTCTTGAATATTCAGAACCTTGAATAATCATTCGACTTCCTTAACTCTGATTGGTTGTTTTATGATTGATTAATTGCTGCTCGTGTCTCGTCATTCAAAGGTTTTTTGCAGATAACATTCGTTCTGCCCTTCTCGTATCGCAAAGCAACACACCGATTTTGGGTGTCAAGTTTGGCACTTTTCAAAGAAGAGCGTCCGTCGTGAGAGATTGACGAAATGGGTGGAAATTCTTCCTGAATATTTTCAGTCACATCAGTCGTCACCAGTTTTCAACGGTTGTCCCACGTCTTTCTAAATGTATCGCTTTATTACTACCCTGCATTATCACACTGATTCAATAGTAAATGGATAATATCTCAGTAGCTGGAAAATTGATTTCTAAAAGAAAATATTGATAATAAACTGCAAAGGAATTGTCTAAAATGCTTTATCCGAGGGAAAATACCTGTATTGACATTGGGTTGCTTGGACGTAATTCACGCATGAACAAGAATTCTTGTTTGGACTAAGCATAAATTGAAGTTTCTGACCACACCCTAGCTTGTCCAGTAACGAGTAAAATTTATGTTATGGTCCAGGTTAGGACCAAGGAAGAACAACACAAACACAAGAGTAGAAATAACGAAGGTATATTACACGAAATAATAATACAAGATGTAGAAGGTGTTAGTATGACTGTCAGTCTGGTTTGGAGTGAACTACTATCGGCTCGACTCGATTCGGTATCTAGCCCCCCCCCACGAGGGCTGCATATGGCACAAGGCCGAGTTTAATGTGGGTTTCCCGAGCCCGTAGGCTCGGCCAAAAAAAAAAAAAAAAAAATGCCCGTAGAACCCGTATAAACGGGATTGGGTTGGTCAACCTCCCCGAATGAGGCTCTGTCCTTCGGCGGACCGTCGTCCGGTTTCCTCTCTGCTCAGAGGCAGAGAGTTCGACCGTCAACCTGAGCTTCTCGGCTTGATTCGGTATCTAGCCCCCCCACCACCGAGGGTTGCATGTGGCACAAGGCGGAGTTTAACGTGGGTTTCCCGAGCCCGTAGGCTCGGACAAAAAATGCCCGTAGAACCCGGATAAACTAAACGGGATCGGGTTGGTCAGCCTCTCTGAACGAGACTCTGCCCATCGGTGGAGCCTCGTCCGGGTTCCACTCTGCTCAGAGGCAGAGAGTTCGACCGTCAAGTCGAGAAGTTCGGCTTGATTCGGTGTGTAGCCATCCCCCTCGAGGGTTGCATGTGGCACAAGGCCGAGTTTATCGTGGGTTTCCCGAGCCCGTAGGCTCAGCCAAAAAATGCCCGTATAACCCGTATAAACGAGATCGGGTTGGTCATTTCTACCCGAACGAGATTCTGCCCTTCGGCGGAGCCTCGTCCGGGTTCCTCTCTGCTCAGAGGCAGATAGTTCGACCGTCAAGTCGACAAGCTCGGCTTGATTCGACCCTCTCTCTTGAGAGTCGTAGGATACATAGTGTTAGGAAGAGTTCATTCTGTAGTTATAGGTAAGGACTCATAACAATCTATATGCGTCAATAAATTGTTTTTTTTTTCTTGTAATTTTTTAAAAATCGGTATCACCCCATGCAAGGCAGTGAAGCCACATTAATACAAGGGGGTTACAAGGCGTGATAAAATTAGGAACAGAAACATTAATAATGAGCGGGAAGAGGAAAGCGTAATCAGAAGGACAGTAGATAGCGATTGACATTGCATTTACATTTTTGCAGATTTAAGTTGGCCAGAAAGCACGGAGCCGGAAGGGAGTTCCACAAGCGAGAAGTGCGAGAAAAGAAACTGTTAGCATAGAATGTAGAGTCACATCTAACCAAATCAATTGATGAGATCTCGACACCACTATATTATTCTTCTTTTATGTGACGTGTCACTTCTGGACGTAGGCGATCATGGCTCTCCACTTGCCCGTACCCCTTTTAGTTCTCAATATGTTTTGTCCTTTTGCTACTACCCCCAAACCCTATTCTGTCATCCGCTTGCTTAAGCGCGCTAGGTATGTCACGCGTTGCTTTCCTTTGTCTCTCTTTCCCTCTATCCCCCCTGTAAGTATTAGATTCTCCAAGTGCTCTTTTCTCATTACGTGTCCCAGAAATTTTAGCCGCCTCTTCTTACTCCTTGTTTGCATCTTCTCCAAAACCTGATCGTTGCTCACATGTTCGGTCCATGGTATCCTCAGTATCATTCTTTAGAACCATACCTCCGTTGCTTATCTCCATAATCCATCCAATCCAGCGAATTTGGTCCCTGAAAACGTGACGTATTTAGAGTCTGCGACACTTTTCGCTAAATGACCCCTGATTCGAGGTTAGCAAAATTAACATGAAATTCCTTATGTATTTTTTTATTTTATTTTGTTTCAGACCTGTTAGGTTAATGTGTAAATTTAAATTTTCAGTATGTGCGCATATATATATAGGGTGTAGTCTGGCTTACTTCGTGTTTTGGCAACTAGATAATCGCGTATTTTTATAGTGAGTAATGGAACTTATACTAAGTTAAAACTTAATCATTTTATTTTATTCTCCCATCTGACCAACCTTTTACTCGTAAACATATATTGGAGGGGGATTCTCTCTCTCTCTCTTATATTTATATATATATATATATATATATATATATATATTATTTGGTAAGTATTCCACTTTCAAAATGTCACTCAATGTTCTTGCGAGTGAGGCTGCTTGTTAGCGATCCAGTAGGACGAAAAACAAAACCTAAAAAAGGGCGAGTGGTCTCTTAGAGTTAACGGCCATCTTACTAGAAGTGGAATCTCCATAAACCACCATGGAGAAGGCAAAGGGAAACCACTCTCCTATTAATCCCAAGAAATATCATGACCACTATATTGCTGTGGTTAAATTTAAAAAGTCTAGGTACCATAGCGAAGATCTCATCAGATCAATTACCTGTATTTATAGAAAAAGGTACAGAGAGGCATCCTTTCGGCAACAGGAAAGTGATTGATGCCAAGCCACTAGATCAGGACTGATAATATTGCCGATACTTATTGGGATTTTATCAAAGAGCTTAAGGTAATATATATATATATATATATATATATATATATATATTTTTGTTTTTTTGTTTAAAATATGAAGGAATCATATTTTTAAACAAAAAAAATATTATAATAAAGCTCTACTTCTGTATGGAGCACTGTTTTAAAATAAAACAAAATACTAAGAAACTTCGGATTATGCACCCAACGTATTCTTTTTTCTATTTTCTGCATACCTGTGCATTTATACATACATACATACATACATATATATATATATATATATATATATATATATATATATATATATATATATATATATATATATATATATATATATATATATATATATATATATATATATATATATATATATATCTTCATAAATTAATGCACGAATCTGATGAACCAAAATAGGGCGGGGGTGTTTCTCTGTCAATCGTGCGAAAGCATTTTACGTAATTTGAAATAACCACGAATGAAATGATCCATGGGAGTCATTTTGAAACTAATGTGTTCTCTTCCGTGCAATAGTTGGAGCTTGAATTGGTTTGAATCTTTAACGAACCGAAGCACACACCTGTAGCAAGACACGAATGATTTGTTCAGAGCAATATACAGATGCCTGAATAGCCGAATCAAAATCTCTTTCTTGAATCTAATTGAAAAATGAATGACGATGTTTGAAAGGTGGAATTCATTAGAAGGACCCGCAGAAGCATTAATGAATTGAATGACGTTTGCAAGGAAGAGTGGGCCAAGATTTCAAAAGAATGGTGTGATGGTTTACGAAAAACGCCTCCGTGGAATTATTGCGAACTTAACGTTATGCATCTAATCAGGTAACTATGACATCCCGTTTATCCATCGAAAAATTTTCAAAATACACTGTAGAGTAAAATATTATACGATGTGATTTGCAAAAAGGTGGTATTCTAAGGTGTGGTAGATTTTATTTGTTCTCGAAATAATCACCCGTGTTAATAATAAAGGTAAATGTAAGCATAAAAAAAATATCTTAAAAGAGCTAAATAATTTACACCACATATATACATACATACACAAACAGATCTATCTATCTATCTATCTATCTATCTATCTATCTATCTATTACAGTTTCTTCATTTTCTATCTATTGCAGTTTCGTCATTATATACATACATATATACATACATACATATATATATATATATATATATATATATATATATATATATATATATATATATTATATCTATATTTAGGCAGCAATCCTTCGTTTATGCATGTTTCATTAAAAACGACAGACGAGTTACTACGGTTAAGCTTTTTATTTAATTTTTTCTTGTGTTCGAACAAGAGCTTTCTTTTCTGGACAAAGGGTGTGTAAAAACTGGCCAAATGTTTTACAGTTCTGAGCGCTTCCGGCTATACCTTTAGCCATTATCAAGGATAATTCGATTTTTCAGCTTAATTGAGTGCGCACATTATGTGTATATTTTATTGTAGGGATGTTTTAATTCCCGAATACGGTTAGCACATTGTGGCCTTTTTCGTAGATAATATTGTTAAGAGTTGGCTTTTTTATTATTATTATTAAAACTTCCATTATTTTTAATCATTTTTTCAGCTGGATGCCGTTATTATATTTGTGTTTTCTACTAGTATGTTTCTAATGGAGTCTGGTAAGTTTGTGTGTGTGTTTAAATGGGTTCTCATGGAGCTGTGATCAGATAGGTGTAATGTAAGACGTCTGGATAAGCATGTGGTTGTGTAACCGATGTAAATATTTATGGATCCAGTTTGATCAGGAACACAGTTCCTTAAGGGGCATTCGAACTCATAGATAATGTTCGTTCTTTGTAATTTTGATTTAGCTGGTGTGTTGTTATTTTTGAGGATAAGGTTAGCTGACTTAAATTTTCTATAATAGATAATTAATTTGATTTTTTATTCGGGTCAATTGGGCTAGTGTATTTCTTTATAATATGTCTCATTGAAGATTCGTCTTGTTTGTAGTTAATGTGCATTTGGTTTTTTGTAATAAATGTGTATGTAATTTTTGGCTGTTTGTTCACTATTGTTATTACTTACTTTGGGGAGAAATAGTCTAATTTGGTGGTCTATAAGGTAGTTAAGGAAGCCGTTGTTGATTAGTGTTTGTTTTACATTATTAGGTTCTTTGAGGAAGTATAGACGAGAGAATGAGTTCTGGTGTGCTCTATTTAGAAAGTTTTATTACTGCTATTTCGTACTTAAGTGAACATTCGCTTTTGAAGTTAAGGTGGCACGAGTTTTTGCTGGTGGGTTTTTTGTATAATGATGTAATGAAAGTATTATTGCTGTATTCAACGAGAACATCTAAGAATGGAAATTTGTTTTTTTTTGGCTAAGTTCATAGGTAAAGTTGAGGACGGAGTTTTTCTCAAATGTGGTCTTAAGTGTATCTATTTCTTTAATGTTATTAGCTAAAATAAAAATATCATCTACGTAGCGAAAATATATTTTCGGTTTACAAACCTGTGTAAATATCGTATTTTCTACGTGAGACCTGTAATAGTTGGAAAAGCATGGACCGAGTGGATTTCCCATTAGTTTGGGTGTAGATGTTGCCATTATGGTCATAGAATGGAACTTTACACACTCTTTGTCCAGAAAAGAAAGCTCTTGTTCGAACATAAGAAAAATTAGAAAAAAAGCTTAATCAGTAGTACCTTGTCTGTTGTTTTTAATGAACCATATATATATATATATATATATATATATATATATAAAATTATTATCGAAAACCGTCCAATCAATTCACACAAAATTTTCACACAATGTTGGCAACACTGATCTGCGCAATCACTGAAATTTTCGGACTGATCTGCGCAATGTAAACAAACTCGATAATAATTTAGGCACGCAGTGTATATATATATATATATGGGCGCGTGGCCGAGAGGTTAGAACGTTTTCTTTCTGACCATGAGACCCCGGTTCGATGTTATCGGAATGGATCGAAGTCGACCCCAGAGTGCGGCATCTTTGAAAAGAGGTTGAAAACCATACCACGGGTTGAACTAAGCCTTTTGAGTGAAATTGGGTAGACAAAACTCTTGAGGGCCGTTGATAGCTGTCCTAGTAAGAAACTCACAACTAATCATGGCCGAGGATTTGAGCGTGCTGGCCTTGTTAAAATTCTTGATCACGCTAGATAACACGCTCTCTCCCAGAAGCTGTAATTATGGTCTGCTCTGCATAGTTGCGGTATAAAGCACAGGTGTGCTCTGAGGGTGTTGAGCAAATACAAATGTGCCTGAGGGAGCGCCCTGCAATAGGGACTGGCTGGCCGCCCTGCTAGACGGTTATCCTCGAATGCGAGTGGGCAGCTATTATTTAAGATGTACGCATATATGTATCTAGTTAACTCCAAACTTAAATACTTTAGAATTTAATTTGAATAAAGATTTCAAGCACATTTTTAGTGACATTCGTTTATTAGACATTAAATTATGTCACTTAGCGTCCTCCGTAATCTACCTAGACTTTTTAGCTAACCAGTTGAATATTGAAGAACGTTCTTTAAATTAGAAAATTTGAAAAAGTAACACGTGATAAATACGCAAAATAATATTATTAAGTTGGTGCAAAAATAATGACGTAATAATGTCGTTTTTTTTGACGTATGTTTTAACGTCAAAAAACGACATTATTACGTCATTATTTTTGCACCAACCTAACAGTATTAGATGAATTTTAGTACATATCACTAAAGTTTTATATAAGACACAGTGCAAAGGAAACCCCGAAATAATAAAGAAGCAAACAATATTAAATAAGGTGTCTTTCTCCAGAGGTAACCGTATAATGAAGGGTCTTTAAAAGATACACATATAATTTCCAGTTTGACCGTTTGTCCCCAGGGCAGCTTTTTCTATGACAAAGCCCTCGAGCGACATCTTCCCACCTTGGACCCTGCGTAAAATAAACGCTGCTACAGACTGACTATTTTAAACGTCATTATTAATGATCTATCTATCTATCTATCTATCTATCTATCTATCTATCTGTCTGTCTGTCTGTCTGTCCTCTGTCTGTCTGTCTGTCTATCTATCTATCTATCTATCTATCTATGTCTTTGTCTGTCTGTCTGTATTTTAAATGTTGGAGCAGCTAAAGAATGGCGTCCTATTTCATTATAATCTGCAAAGGAGAATAAATATGTGTGGCTCCTGATATATATATATATATATATATATATATATATATATATATATATATATATATGTGTTTCTCAAGGAAAAAACATAATCTCTGAATGCCCAGAACTTTTATAAAATAAATAAAAAAAAAAAAAACAATGTTCCTGAAATAAATTTTGCTTGTAACGCGTGTTGCTTATTTTCCATCTGATCAATTCAGAATATAAATTCTATTTATTTAGCTCCAAAGGGAACAATTTAACTGCGTATATAATTTATGTGGTGACAATTTATATCTTCTCACATTTACTCCGAAGAAATAATGTGCATATGTAAAGGAAGTGAAAAGGGACAGATCTAATTGGACGAAGGGAGGAACGAGGAAATAGATTGTAAAAGAAGACATATCAAAAAGTTGGTTGCAAGAAAGAAATGGCGGGAAAATAGAGAAGCAAAAATATTCGGTGAAGGAAGAAACGAGAAAATGGAGTTTTCAAATTTCAAGAAAATAGTGTAAGAAAGCAGAAAATTGAAAAAGAAAAAAAAAAAGAAAAATTTAAAAGGATGAAGAAACGAAAAAATAGGGTAAAAACGAAGAAATGGGAAAATAGGTTTGAATTTTAAAATGATAATTTGGGGAGAGTAAGTAACGAGGACATTCAGAGTAACGGAATACAATATGAAAAATGATGGAACGATAAAAAAAAATGTATAAAAAGAAAAATATTACAAGAATAAAAAAACGGGTAATTGGAAGCAGGAATATACGAGAAAATAAATTAAAAAAAATGACCCCCACTGAAAAAAGAAAATTACACAAAGGAAGAAACCGGAAAATAGGGCTTAAGGAAAAACAAGGAAAAATGATTAAATGGAGAAAGGAAATAATTTATGAAAATATTAAAAAGAACGGTTTATGAAGAAAGAGGAGATAAAAATAGACAAGAGATAAACAAACGTAAAACTCAGATAAGGAAAGACATGAAAAAAAAAATGGAAAAAAAAAAGGAAATAGATAAAGATATTCGTTCTTGCTTTTAATATTAATGACACACATGATCTGGTGCTCTTGCTATATATTTAGAGATTCTTGATAAAATCCAAAGAAAATTCGTAATCTTATTGATCCTGACCTGGCATATTTTCCATCGCCATAACGTAGTTTCGCTGTACCTTCTCTATAAATACTTTCATGGAAATTGTTCTGTTTAACTTTCTGCTGTGGAATTTTTAACCTCCCCCATATACATATTTTACATACCTATTGTAAATTGTACATAATTAGGACTTCATAGAGACATTGAGGTATTATGGTGGCTGTAATAAGAATAGTAAGTAAGAATATGTTGATTTGATTTAAAGAATACTGTGGCATATTTGGATTAGTAATTGTGGCTAGCTAAGTTTAAGATAAGACAGACTAAAGACCAGCCTTCCCTCATCGCCCCATTTTGACCTTGTTCCACATTTTAGTATTTTCAAAGTAAATATTACTGTCTGCTAGACTTTATGAATTTAAGCGCAGTGCTAGATTGGCGGAGAGGTCTCATCATTTTACAGTTGAAATGGCTAGATATAACTGTAAGTTGGATGTTAACAGCTTCTTCTGTCTCACTTCTCGCTTGTGGAACTCTCTTCTTGATGATTACTTCCCAGTGAACATTGATCTTCAAAAATTTGAAAACAATGTCAATCGTTATCTCATGTCATCTTAATTCTTATTATTTGAGTGTCCTGTTTCTTTAATAGTAGTTTTCCTCATTAACACTCAGTAATCCCTTACGTCCTAGTGGCTTTATTGCCTTGCTTGGGGTAAAATGATTAAAAAAAATAGATAACGAGAAAGAAGCACGGAATACAGCAAATAAAAAAGAAACGAACGAAGCGGGAAATACAGCAAACTGACATGACAGCTCACAAAGGAAATGGGATCGAAGTAGAAGAAGAAGGAAAAAACAAAATCGACAAAAAGAAATACATAAAAATTAAACACGAAGGAAGAAAAAGAACGAAAGCGATAGATAAATAGATAGATAGATAGATAGATAAAGAGAGAGCCAAAGGGTGTGAGAGAGGATGATGAAGGATGCATCTGCATAGAATAGAATAAACATATGAAAAATGAGAGTTCATGACAAACAGCGGAATGGAAGAAAAGAAAAGAAATAGTCAAAAAGAAAGAAAAAGAAAGGAGAAATAGAAGAGAGCCAAATAAATACCTAAAAATGGAAACGAGACAAGACAAAGATAATATAAAATAAGAATAAGATAACAGTAAGGCGATGAATGAATAACTGACATCTGATCCAAATATTGTAAAGAGAAAAAAACAGGAAATGGACGAAATAGAAAAAGAGAAAGAAAAATGAAGAAAAACAACAGAACGAGAAAGAATGAAAGAAAAAAGCAAGTAAATAAATAAGAAAAGGAAAGAAAAGAAATGAAAGAAAGATAAAAAGAAAGAAAGAAAGGAAATGTGTAAATACGAATGAAAAGAGACAATGTCAATAGAAGGGAAGAGTATGAAGTGGATGAAACATGAAGACTATGGACAGAAAGAATAGTTAATTGAAAAAGACAAAAATAGAAAAGAAATAAAAGGAAGACAAGGAAGGAAAGAAACCTTTTTTAAAACGAAAGCGAGGAAAAAAAAAAGCAAAAAAAGCAAGTCCGTGTAGGCACTGAAATAATGTGTCAGTTCATGAAGAAGGTGGAAGGAAAGAAAACGAAACGGACGTAATGTAGAGAATAAAAAAAAGTAAAAAAAAAAAAAAAAAAAAAAAAAAAAGAATGAAAAAAGAAAAAAGAAGAAAGCATAAAATATCTGTCTGTATTTCTGACCTAACGTATTGTAACCATTTACACTATTTACATTGTTGGGACTTCTGACTTCATCTTTATTGTCATATTCTCGACATTTCAGCCGTTATACGCTCCGGTCTTCTTCAGGTCAATAACACTGGAATTTCAAACCGAACCCTTTCTTTCGCACACCGGGGAAGACTGTTCTAATTCCACTTACCATGCCTTTTCTGGGTTTTTCAGTTATTTCCCTTTAGTAACTCAGCTCTTCAAGTTTTTGTTCAACTCTGCGGGAGGGGGGCAGATATTGATCTCAAAACTTTTTGGCTCATGTCATGGATTACTTCAGACAACGCTTTTATCCATTGAGTCATGTGTTGTGAATACGAGGACAGTATTTCGAATGATATAAATATCAATATAATATCAATATATATCGATATAAATAGTGTAAATGACAGCATAAAATCTGTAAAACTGAAAGAACAAAAATAAGGTAGCGGTATTTAATGAAGACATGGCGGTTTCTGATGAACGTGGAAAGAAAGAAGAAGAAAGGAAGAAAACAGACAAAACAGAATGAGAAAAATCAATAAAAAAGAAAGGAACATAAAGAAACAATTCGAAATATATTAAACAAGAAAGTGAATACGGTGAAGTAGAAAATGTGTGCATTGAAGAGGACAGAAAATAGTGATGAAGAAATTAAAACAAGACATTTTTTTTTAAGCGTTTCACCGCAAGCAAGGCGGGAAGCCACTAGGACGCAAGGGGTTACAGAAAATTTGGAGCAAGATCAGATAGGAGTGATAGAAGAAAGGATGAAGAGAAGGGTAGTGGATAGATCAAGGCAACTGGAGATGTCGATTGACATTACATTTGAATAGCTGGAGATTATAGCTATCAGGGAAACTGGAATAGGGAAGGGAGTTCCACAGGTGAGAGGTGCGAGACATGAAGCTATTGGAGTAGAAGAGACGGATACATTTAGGAGTTTAAACAGTGAAAGGGTGAGAGCGGGATGCCAGCCTCGTAGGGCGCTTGAACTCATGAAGTCTGGGAACCAGTGAATGCAGCTCCTCGGAGCAATTGCCATGAAAGTATTTTTAAAACAGACAGAGGGAGGCGACGGCGCGTCTGTGAGAAAGTGTCTGTAGACGAGATGCCAGAGCAGGGCCAATTATATTGCATATCCGCCTCTGGAGCCTATCAAGAACACCGAGGCAAACAGAAGGGGCCCCAGACCATATATGGCAGCAATACTCCATGCAAGGGCGAATTGTTGATTTGAAGATCTGGAGGATCGATTCCGGGGAGAAAAATTTCTTGGCGCGGCACAGGGAGACAATTTTCCTTGCAGTGGACAAAGCAATTGACTCAATGTATTTGTTCCATCTCAGGTCACCAGTCAACGTGTGAACGAGCAGCCGCAGAGAGGTGCTCTCGAGAAGTTGAGCGTCAGACATTCTAATGGAGGGCAGAGAAGGATCTCTGTGATGATTAATAGAAAGCAGTTTTGATTTTGAAGCATTAAAGTTGACCAGCCAATTCATAAGAGAACAAAACGAAAACGGTTGAAAATACGAAAAAAGGAATGAAGAAAGACTAGAAGCAAAACTACACAGAACATCAATGAGAAGAAAGCAATGAAAATGAATGCAATGATGAAGTAAATATTATGAGATCATATAGCGAATACAGAAGGTAAGTAGCTGACAGCATTGTTAACAGACAAAAAGGAACGAAACGATAGCCGGTAAGAGAGAATAGAATGATAAAAAGGGGTCAAAAGAAATGTAATCAATGAGAAAAGAAAACGTCCAGTCAGAAATTCAATCTGTGATGAAGAACAAAACTTTAAAATTCGAACCTTAAATATAATAACAAACACAAGACAGGATAATTGAAAAAAATAAAAAAAGAGAAAAAAAAGAAATTTATTCAGTAATACAATCATGTATAGAATAATTCATTAAAAAAATTCAATGTAGCAATATTAATGTAATAGAGAAATACAGGTGTTTATTAAAGTTTGGTCCACTAACATAAGTTTGCGGCATATGGTACAACTGTCATGGCCGACAGAAGAAACTTGCTACAGCTAGACGCACTAAATATTCAGAGAAATTATGTCTTGTTTGGTCTAATCCGACTAATGGTTTCATACCTTTTTCCAGAATGTTTCTAGCTTGTTAATA